CGGGAACGCCGGCGCCCGCCCCGGCCTGACATCACCGTCGCTCCGGCAACGGGTGCACTTCAAAGGGAACGGGTGGAAAGGGCCCAAAAAAAGCCAGGGATAAACAGCGCCCGGCGGCGGGGCTGCCGCCAACAGCCCGCCCGGACGCCTGGGCCCCCGGCGAGCGAGGTGCTGCCTGAACAGGCCGGGATGGAGCCAGGCGGAGCCCGGAGGCGTCGGAGAGGGAGCGCCGGCTGCCATGGGAAGCTCCGGCATGTCGGGAAGCCAGGAGCAAGCGGCAACACGACGGCAGCGCCAGGATGGTGCCGGGAGCACAACCCCGTACAAGACGCTGGAGAATCCACAGGGGTGTTGCCCAGTAGGGCAGCTTCACCCATCGGGAGTGCAACCCCCATACGAGACACTGGAGAATCCATAATGGCTYTGCCAAGCAGGACAGCCTCTCCCAGCAGGAGCACAGCCCCATATGAGACACTGGAGAACCCCCCAGGGGTACCGCCCAACAGGGAGGCTGCTGCCTGCCGGGAACATGACCCTATACAAGACACCAGAGACTCYACCACGGAGCCGCTCGCGGGGCAGCCTGCTCTGCTGGGAGCCACCCCYGGGGCGGCCGCACAAGCCCAAACGAGACACCCGAGAGAACCCGCGGCAGCTCCCACCCGTGGAGGCGGCCTCTCTGTCCAGCCCTATACGAGACCACGGAGAATCCCCTCCCCACACAACCCCTATACAGGACCACGGAGAATCCCCCCCTCCAACACAACCCCTATACAAGTCTGTGGAGAATCCCCCCTCCCCACACAACCCCTACATAAGACCACAGAGAATCACCCCCCTCCCAACACAACCCCTATACGAGACCACAGAGAATCGCCCCCCTCCCAACACAACCCCTCTACGAGGCCACAGAGAATCCCCTCCCAGTGCAACTCTTATACAAGACCGTGGAGAACCCACCCCCGCAGCACAACCCCTATAAGAGACCGTAGAGAATCCCCTCCCAACACAACCCTTATACAAGACCACAGAGAACCACCCCCCCAGCACAACCCCTATAGGAGACCGAGGAGAATCTCTCCCCCCCCAGCACAACCCCTATAGGAGACACTCGAGAAGCGCCGTCAGGGCCCGCCCGGCGCTTCCCTCCCCCCGCCGTGGCCCCTCCCTCGGCGAGCTGAGCCCGGGCCA